CGCGGTAAGTGCGAGGAGTCGGTATGTCAAGGGCGTCGGGGTCTCCCTCAGGGGAGAGCAGCATGGCACACACAGAGGGAGAAGCGGCTGCCCAGTACTCCAGCTCAGACTCTCTGTCCTCTAGGACGTCACACCCAAGGGCAAACCCACCCCCGACGGACAGAGGACGGTAGGGAGGAGCTGGCACCACACGGGTGGCGTAGTCAAGGCGGCTGGCGGCAGCAAACTCAGCGACAGCGGCAGTAAGAGCCGAGGCAGACGACGGAGGGAAACGAGAGTCGGTGACAAGAGTGGCGAGGACACGTGCGGCAACAGGACGAACAGCGCGGTAGTAGTCAGAGATAGGAGTGGGGAGGGCTGGTAGAGAGGACGGAGGAGGAGACGGGAGAACGGACACAGGAGAAGGAGAACGACGACGAGACGAACAAAGGAGGGCAGTGTGGAGGTCAGTAACAGGGGACGAGTGACGAGCACGCGGAGGACAACGAGTGATCAAGTCGCGACGGACAGAGGGAGGAGGAGACTGAGGAGGAGGAGAAGACCAGACCGCCGGACGGTCGTCAGGAGGAGGCAACGGAGGAACAAACACAAGAGGAGACTGGGAGCGGACAGGAGGAGAGGAGGAAAGGCCAAGGGCCCGCAGGCCACTCACAGGTGAGAACAACTGCCGCTCCAGAGGAAGCTGCGGTGGCGGCTACGGCTGCTGCTGCTGCGGCGGTGGCTGCGGCTGCTGCTGCTGCTGCTGCTGCTGTCGCTGCTGCTCCAAAAGGTCCAGCACCCTCAGCTCCTGTCGCTCCCTCTCCAACCGCTCCTGCTCCTCACGCTCACGCCGACGGGCAGCCTGGAGACGCGTGTCGTGGCGGTGGGGAGGCGGAGTGGACTCCGCAGAACCAGGGTCTCCAGTTCCAGTCTCCTCAGACTCAGCACCCCCAGAACCACCACCTCCACTGTCAGGACCTCCAACTCCAGCACCCCCAGAACTAGCACCTCCAGTGCTAGCACCTCCAACCCCAGCACCCCCAGAACTAGCACCCCCAGTGCCAGCAACTCCAGCTCCAGCACCCCCAGAGCGAGCGCCACCTGCGCCAGCCCCTCCAGCTCCAGCACCCCGCGAACGAGCACCCCCAGACCGCGCACCGCCAGCAGCTGCACCTCCAGCTCCAACACCAACCAAGTCCACAGGAACCTGTCGCGGAAGTGCCGAAGGCTGCTGAGGGGACTGTGAGGAGGACTGCGGGGAGGGAGACGCTACCTGACGCGCGACCGAGGGTAGAGGGGTAGCGTGGGACACACCAGACGGGGCAGGACCAGGGGGGGGAGGGGGTACCGGAGGAGCAGGAGCAGGAGGAGGAGAGGGTGCTAGGAAAAGGGGGGGAGGGGGTACCGGGAGACCTCGACAGGGGTACCGGGTGTAGTAGGACACAGACTCGTCAAACCGGACGTCACGGGAGTCTAGGAACTGGTGGAGGGACGGGTGGTAAAAGGACCAGTCGACAGAGTCCACTGGGAAACCAAGGAAGACACAGGGGACGGCGCGTGCCGAGAGCTTGTCCGCGGAGGTGTCGCGAACAAACGCAAGGCAGCCCCAGACGCGAAAGGCCGACCCAACACCAGGGGAACCAGTCCAAAGACTGGTCGGTGAAGCCTCGGGCCGCGAGACACGCGGCTGGAGGTTCAGCTGGTGTGCGGCGTAGCGAACCGCGTGGGGCCACAGAAAATGGGGCGCACGGGCATGGATCATGGATGTGCGGGCGATGTCCATGACCAAGCCTATGCGGCGCTCAGCAACCCCATTCTGCTGTGGGGACTCTGGCAGCGTCCAGGACTATGTGATGCCCTGTTCGCCGCAGAATCCGCCGAGAATGCCGGAGCGAAACTCGCCCCCACGGTCGGAGTGGAGACAACTGACTCGACGACCACGAGTGCCCTCAGTAGCTAGGAGCCACCTGATCAGCGTAGCAGTCACCTCGGACTTCTTCGCAAGAGGGAACACTGTGGTGTACCTGGAGTAGTCGTCGACGACCACCAGAAAGTAACGCTCCCTCCCAGAACCCTGCGTCGGGGCAGGGCCCCAGACGTCCAAGTGGAGGGTCTCGAAGGGAGCGGTGGCCGGACGAAGGGAGGAGGAGTGGGGAGTGGCGCGTAAGCGACCGGCGACGCAAGGAGTGCAAGAGGGAGCAAGGGAGGTGGGGAGCGACGGAAAGGTGCGTGGGAGACCGGTGACCAGCCCCGTGAGTGGTCATCCCGCGGAGTCGGGGGATCGACGGGTGGCCAAGGCGGTGGTGCCACAAGATGGTCCGGTGGGTGAGGGACCGACAGGAGCAGGACGCCGCGACTGGACTAGACAGCGTGACCTGACTAGACACTGCAACTGGACCGGACTCTGCTACCGGGGGGGACGAAGCAACCTGACCAGACGCAGCTACCTGCGGGGGCGGAGTGTGCAGAACGAAGAGACCTGAGTGGGGCTCTCTGGTGAACGTGGCAAGAACTGCCCTGGTGGAAGAGTCCGTACAGATCGCAGTCCTCCCGTGCGCAGGAAAAGTGACTGTGATCCCCCGGTCCTGAAGGTATCCAACACCCACCAAGTTTCGAGAGAACGAGGGGATGTAGAGACCAGTGAGGAAACCAGAGGGGACAGCTGGGCACGGGAGAGTGGTCGAGCTGCAAGCAACTGCTGGTCCTGAAGTAGGATCAGCCAGGGCAACTGGGACTGGAGCCGAAAGAGGTGTGACAGTGGTGTGGTCGCGAAAGAAGCACTGGGACGCGCCGGAGTCCAGCGTGAAGGAGAGCGACGCAACAACAGTCGTCACGGCTGGGCTAGTGACTACACAAGCACCTACACTAAAAGCACAAGTACCTACAGTAGCAACAGGCAAAGGTCCTAAGCTAGGTACACGCAAGCCAAGAGATCCGTACGTGACAGAATAAACAGCATCCATAGACATATCAAACACAGGGTAACCACTACGAAACAAACCGGGCCAGATCGGGGGAGCCGACTCAGGCCCAAAACGCTCACGGTATAGGTCGTCGAGGCGACTGTAGCAGCGCGGTGCAGAGTGGTCAGGACGCCAGCAGGTAGTGCCAGCACCAGGGCCGGTCAGGATCCGGTACTGGCAGGGGCCGACGTCGCGGCCACCGCGACGAGCCCCCAAGCCGCCTGGGCCGCTGCTGCAGCCAACGCTACCCGAACCGCGAGGCCGCCACGGCTGCTGAGGGCGCCACAACTGCTGAGGGCAGAGCTGCTGCTGAGGGCGCCACTGCTGCTGCGGGTGCCACTGCTGAAACTGCCGCTGCTGCTGTCCCTGCTGCTGGAGAATCCTAGTGGACGCCATGATAAAGGCTAGGAGCGGCAGGAGCTAGGGACGGCCACGAGAACAACTAGGAGCGCGAGGTGAAACTAGGCGAGGAACGACCGGTGCTGGAACGGCTGGAGCTGAAACGGCTGGAGCTAGAACGGCTGGAGCGAGAACGGCTGGAGCGAGAACGGCTGGAGCTAGGCACGGCTGGAGCTAGGAGTGGCTGGAGCTAGAACGGCTGGAGTGAGAACGGCTGGAGCTAGAGACTGTAAGTGCGGCTGTCGGCTGCCGCTAGTGGAGCCAGTGGCAGTGGAAAGTACGTGCGACAAAGGGGCTGCAGTACTGACGGCTGCGGGAGGTAGGGAACTGTGCAGGTCGTCCGGCAAGCAGGAACGCGGGCGACAGTTGCAGCCCCCCACCCTGAACCCCCCCCTTTTTTTTAAGGGTTTAATTAATTAATTTTATTTTCTGGCGCTAAAGCGCTGCGGGGCGCGCTGCCTGCAAGGTGTGCTGCCTGCGGGACGCGCTACCCGCGGGGCGCGCTGCCTGCGGGGCGCGCTACCCGCAGGGCGCGCTACCCGCGGGGCGCGCTACCCGCGCGGCGCGCTGCCTGCGGGGCGCGCTACCCGCGGGGCGCGCTCCCTGCGGGGCATGATTTCTGCGGGAGGCGCGCTACCTGCGGGGCGGGGCGACGCGGCGGGCTAGGGGCAGGGCGCACGGGTGCGCACGGGCTAGGGGCAGTGCGCACGGGCGACGTTACGGGCTGGGGCAGGGCGCATGGGCGACGTGACGGGCTGGGGCAGGGCGCACGGGCTACGCGACGGGCTAGGGCAGGGCGCACGGGCTACGCGACGGGTTAGGGCAGGGCGCACGGGCGACGCGACGGGCTGGGGCAGGGGCCACGGGTTACGCGACGGGCTAGGGCGGAGGCGCGATACGGAGGGCGTGGAGGGCGCGTAGGGGGGGGGCTAGGCGCGGAGGCGCGGATGGCGCGTTACGGAGGGCGCGGAGGGCGCGTTACGGAGGGCGCGGATGGCGCGGAGGGCGCGGAGGCCGCGTTACTCGAGGCTAGGGCGCGGAGGAGGGTGCGTAAGGCGCGGAGGCGCTCTAGAGCGCGGAGGGCGCAAGGGCGCGGAGGGCGCTAGGGCACGTGACAGAGAGCGCGTAAGGCGCGGAGACGCACTAGGGCGTGGAGGGCGCGAGGTAGGCTAGGCTAGGCAAGGATTCTAAACCTACTCGTGATACCATCTCAGAAAGTGAATGCAACGGAATGATTGGAATTAGGGTTTGCAAGGGTACAAATAGGAATCCTACAAAAGCTATACTCTCTAGGGAGTACCTCACTGCAGCCTATCATAACATTAACATTTGACAGTACTCAACTGCCTGCTAGTGCAAACCCTCTTCTCTGTTCTAACTTCTGCTTGCTATCTTGACATCACCCTGTTACCCAGAGGTCATGTCGCAGCAGCAGCCAATAAAACGGGGCCATAAACGACAGGCGATGCTACTTTTACACATAAAACACATGCTTCTTTGTCATACACATTCCTCATCACAGATCACCGGGCATTTTAGATTGATACAGCAGACGACAACTCAAATGCTCCAGGCTACTCTCAAGGCACGAGTGGTGCCTGCCTAGGCAGCCGATATTTTTAGTCGACTAACTAAGAGAGGTGGTTGGGCGGGGCAGGCCTAGAAGCCGAGGAGCTGCTGTGACTTGCGCATGAGGAAGGGCAGCGCGGAGGGGTGGAACTTGCGCGCGAAGAGGAAGCAGTTGCGCGGCTCCCCCGCCAGCACACAGTGCCCGTTGCCCACCGCCTGATGGGGAGAGCATCTCGGGGGTGGATGAGGAGTGGGAGAGGCGGGCTTTGAGTCGTCTCAAGAGCCACCTGGGAGCGAGCGATTCACGGGTGGATGAGGAGGGAGAGGCGAGGAGGGAGGAGCATGCAGAGTGTGTGTGGAGGAGGACTCACGAGAGGAGGGTGAGGTGCCGTGGGGTCGGTTATCTGCGCATACAATAGTGCATGTGGTAGTGCAGCGCACATGGCAGGGAGAGGGGGCAGGTGGGGAATGGTGAGACGCAGTCGGACACAGGGGAGGGTGGTTGATGGATCGGTCGGGAGTGGACCTTGGCAGGAGACCGGGGAGTGGAGCGGCAGGTGTGCGGTGCGTGGTGAAGGAAGGCGACAACACATGCATGGTGCCAACAAGACATGCATGGTGCCAACAAGACATGCATAATCATGTAGATTGCACACCCATGCAAGCAGTTGCATGGCCATACAAACGAAGTGCACGCACATGTGAATAGTTGGATTTGAAGTCTTGCCAGAATGAGCGGAAGGTGATGAACTGCCTTGCCGTCTGCCGTGCGCGTGCAGGGAGTGGAGGCAGGGCAGTGGAGAAGGGAGATAGCAAGTCAAGGGGATTCGAAATCCAGGGAGATAGCAAGTCAAGGGGATTCAAAATCCAGGGAGATAGCAAGTCAAGGGGATTCGAAATCCAGGGAGATGCGAACGATGACAGAGCAGACGGCAGGTGAAACATAGCATTTACAACTTGCTGAGAGAGGGAGTGAACTTGTGGGCAGCAGAGAGCACAGGAGCCGAGGCATGTGCATGAGAGGTAGCCTGCATAGGGCCGGGGGACCTTGATGGTGGTGATGACTTGGTCGGTCATGTTGGCCCCCAAGTAGAGCGAGGGGTGCCACTCGTTGGCACTCCAGTCCGTGAACGTGGTGGGGTAGCGCGATATGCCACGTGGGTCCGTCATCTGTGCAGCCGCATGTTGAAAAGGGGGGGGGGGAAGGGGGGGTTGCAGGGGGGAGCATGGCAAGGGGGGCATGGTGTGTGGGGCGTGGCAGGGGGGGTGAAGGGGGAGGCATGGCAGCGAGATGGCATGAGGGGGTATGTGAAAGAAGTGATTGGCCAACGGTAGGCGTGCACACGGGTGGTGGGAGCGACTAAGTGAGCAAGGCGTGAGAGAGGTGTGAGGGTGGTGTGAGAGACGGACATGCAAGAAGGTTTGAATGTAGTGCTCATCCGCACAGCACAGCTTGCCCCACTGCAACCGAAACTGCACGCACACAAGTGCAGGGGTAACAAGGATGGGCCATGGGACATGGGTGATGGGATGGGCCTCGGGTAAGGGGAATGGGGCATGGGGCAAGGAGCAAGGGGCAAGGGGCATGGGGCGCTCATGAAGCATGTGGAACATGGGACAGCATGCATGTAGGGGATGAATGCGACATGGCTCATACAGGACGCAGCAAGGGGTGGCATGATTTGGAATAGCAGCACAATGAATGACAGTTGATGGACAGAGGAGCAGAGGAGCAGAGGATCAGAGGAGCAGAGGAGCAGAGGAGCAGAGGGCAGAGGGCAGAGGGCAGAGGGCAGAGGGCAGAGGGCAGAGGCGAGGAGGGGGTGGGGGGGACTGACGGCGCAGCTGAGGTTGTGGCGGGTGTAGTGCAGCGTGTCCCTCACCACCGCCTCCGCATGCCGCCGCTGCAGGATGAACCACTGCCCCCATGCCGTGTGGTGCGGTGTGGTGTGCATCCCATGACCAGTAGATTGTGCATTCAATGGCCCATAGAACGTGCATCAACCACCAATAGAGCGTGCGCGTGCGTGAATTGATGTGTGCGGAATGACATATTGATGATGTGAATGACAAGGCAAGGTAATTATAGGAACATGCACGGTTCGGTGGATGTCACATTATTGACGTCATCGAAGGATAAAGAGATAACTTCACCATTACAGGAGTCACAAGAGCACAACACCATGAAAAATAAGAACGCTAAAGGCATCTGGAATAACACAATATGGATGGTAACAGTGTTACGCTGTGTTTGCTAACTCCGTTGTATAGCTGCGAGCCGCACGCACCTGGTTGCCCTTGAGGAAGTGGTGGCGGCGGATGACGGGCATGAAGATGTGCGGGATGTACCGCCCAAACGACATGCTGTAGGGGTCCGAGTAGCTGATCGGTGGGGAATGGGAGAGGGGGTGGAGGAGGGGAACAGGGCTTTGCATGTTCAATCGCATGAGGCGGAGTGTGGGGCAGCATATAGGTGGTGAATCCGGATGAGGGAAGCAGCACGAGGGGGTGGTGTGATGCGTCAAGCCTTTGGGGAGAACCATGTGGCCTCTTTGCAGGGACCTCCCTTTACACTTTCAAATGCATGCCCTGTGACAATCACAGTGACACTCACAGTGACGTACAGGCATATGCACTCAGTGACGTACAGGCATATGCACTCAGTGACGTACAGGCATATGCACTCAGTGACGTACAGGCATATATATGCACTCAGTGACGTACAGGCATATGCACACGCGTAACATACGAAAACAGAAGCAAGTACAACCAGCAGGGAGGAGGAGGAAAGGGCGAGGAGGAGCGGGGCACTGACGCGTCAACGAAGCTGGCGGGGGTGGAGGCGATGTAGCTGTACACGTAGTCAAAGGGCCACAGTGGTATGCAGCTGGTGCCCACCCGCCCATGTATGAGGCGTGGCGGGGAAATGGGCACGCGGGAAGAGCAGGAAAAGAGGTATTAGGGAGGGCATGGGGAAAAGGGCATTAGGGAGGGCATGGGGAAAAGGGCATTAGGGAGGGCATGGGGAAAAGGGCATTAGGGAGGGCATGGGGAAAAGGGCATTAGGGAGGGCATGGGGAAAAGGGCATTAGGGAGGGCATGGGGAAAAGGGCATTAGGGAGGGCATGGGGAAAAGGGCATTAGGGAGGGCATGGGGAAAAGGGCATTAGGGAGGGCATGGGGAAAAGGGCCAGTGAGGGATGCAGCTGATGCCCGGCACGGGGGAATGGGCTTGGGGAGAAACGGCATGAGAGAAAAGGATGGTTATGGGTGTGGGTCAAGGGAGGGTTCAGGCATAAGTGCGTGGCATATGAAAGAAACAAGTTATGAATGAGAGTGCGTGGGGGGATTGGGCCTCGGGATAGAGGGCGTGGGGGGATTGGGCCCCGGGATAGAGGGCGTGGGGGATTGGGCCCCGGGATAGAGGGCGTGGGGGGATTGGGCCCCGGGATAGAGGGCGTGGGGGGATTGGGCCCCGGGATAGAGGGCGTGGGGGGATTGGGCCCCGGGATAGAGGGCGTGGGGGGATTGGGCCCCGGGATAGAGGGCGTGGGGGGATTGGGCCCCGGGATAGAGGGCGTGGGGGGATTGGGCCCCGGGATAGAGGGCGTGGGGGGATTGGGCCCCGGGATAGAGGGCGTGGGGGGATTGGGCCCCGGGATAGAGGGCGTGGGGGGATTGGGCCCCGGGATAGAGGGCGTGGGGGGATTGGGCCCCGGGATAGAGGGCGTGGGGGGATTGGGCCCCGGGATAGAGGGCGTGGGGGGATTGGGCCCCGGGATAGAGGGCGTGGGGGGATTGGGCCCCGGGATAGAGGGCGTGGGGGGATTGGGCCCCGGATAGAGGGCGTGGGGGGATTGGGCCCCGGGATAGAGGGCGTGGGGGGATTGGGCCCCGGGATAGAGGGCGTGGGGGGATTGGGCCCCGGAATAGAGGGCGCGGGGGGATTGGGCCCCGGGATAGAGGGCGTGGGGGGATTGGGCCCCGGGATAGAGGGCGTGGGGGGATTGGGCCCCGGGATAGAGGGCGTGGGGGGATTGGGCCCCGGGATAGAGGGCGTGGGGGGATTGGGCCCCGGGATAGAGGGCGTGGGGGGATTGGGCCCCGGAATAGAGGGCGCGGGGGGATTGGGCCCCGGGATAGAGGGCGTGGGGGGATTGGGCCTCGGGATAGAGGGCGTGGGGGGATTGGGCCCCGGGATAAAGGGCGTGGGGGGATTGGGCCCCGGGATAGAGGGCGTGGGGGGATTGGGCCCCGGGATAGAGGGCGCGGTTGAGCAGCAGAAGGGTGGTTGGCGTTGGCACGTGGCACGTGCATGGCTGGATGGCACGAGTGTGAAGCAAGCAAGCCAAGGGAGTGAGAGGTGCGGCAGCCAGGCCTGGCATGAGCGGAAAGGCGCCTCTCACAGAAAGAAGCCTCCACTCATGCACGTGAGCAACACATGGTGCCTCCCCACCACAACTCACCCCTCACCCGTCGCCCCTCCCTCGGCCCTGCCCCCCTCACGAGGGCGCACCTCTCACTGAGCCGCACCTCTCACTGAGCCGCACCTCTCACTGAGCAGAAGGAAGAAGCTGTTGGCCTCGTCCTGCACAGCCGCCTCCAGCAGGCGCCTCTCCGCATCCACCATCGACATCTCGCCCCACCGCACCTGCCACCCGTGCACGCATGGACACGTGGCATGAGTCTAGTTTTGAGGCGCCTCAAAAGCCTCCAGCAGGCGCTTCACCGCGTCCACCATGGACACCTCGCCCCACCGCACCTGCCATGCACCGTGGGTGGCAGCATGCGAGGCACATGGCGTGCGGTGCATTGGCGGTTGGTGGCATGCACGGGGCCAAGGGAGCAAGGAACAGCGGAGCAGATGGCAGTGCTGCGCGCAGGAGAGTGCATGAGGGTGCACACGGGAACCACACAGGCTGAGGCACACAGGCTGAGGCACACAGGCTGAGGCACACAGGCTGAGGCACACAGGCTGAGGCACACAGACTGAGGCACGCAGAGGACAGCAACGAAAGGCAACTACTTGACGTCTGATTGACATCACCCCACATGCCCATCACCCCACATGCCCATCACCCCACATGCCCATCACCCCACATGCCCATCACCCCACATGCCCATCACCCCGGCACACAAGGCTCACCTCTCCACCCGGCACAAGGCGGCCGCGGAAGAGGGGCGAGGAGCCGGGCGGGAAGGAGAAGGAGGTGTTGGACGCATGCACGTATATGGAGTACCGCCCCTCGTGGCCCTGGGGGACGACGGGGGGAGGCGGGGGAGGGGACGCGGGGGGGGGGGGGAGGGGGCGGGAAGGGGTGGGGGGGCGGAGAAGGAGGTGTGAATGGTGCAGAAGAGGACGATATGGGTGTGAGTGAAAACAGGAGTGTGCATGCATGTAGTTCCATGATATGCTTGCAGAGAGGTGGGACGATTTCACGTGCATGTCGGGTACGTTGCCTTGCATCATATGCGACATGCCCGTTGTTGCATTGTGCATGAGACATGGTGCACGTGGCATGGGGGCAAGTGGGCCATGTGAGGGACGCACGCGGGGGACGCACGAGGGGGGACGCACCCGTAGAAACTTTTCCCAGAGCGGAGCGAGGGGGATGGGGCCGCGCGTGAGGAAGAGCAGCGCGAGGCTGCCGCGCTGCTGCCGCAGCTGCGACCACACGCCGCCCACCTGCGCCGCGCCGCCCTGCTCCACCTCCTCCGTCTCATTCACGCTTATATCGAGGGGCGACACAAACGGGGACAGGACGGAGGTGATGAGGGGCAACTGCGAGAGGAGCAGCAGCGACGCGGCGAAGACGACGATGAGCGACACGAACCCGCGCAGCAAGCGGCTCGACGGAGTCGGTTTCGCGTCACCGCCGCCGGCGTGCGGTGAGAAAGACGCGCCGCGCGAGGCGGCATGCGGCGGTCCGTAAGGCGACGCCTTGGCGTCACCGGCGGCGTGCGCGGGAGTGGGGATGTGCGCGGGGGAGGGAGCGTGCGCGGGTGAGGGAACGTGTGGGGAGGAAGACACGTGCGCTTGAGAAGGAACGTGCGCGGGAGAAGGAACGTGAGCGGGAGAAGGAACGTGCGCGGGAGAAGGAACGTGAGCGGGAGAAGGAACGTGCGCGGGGGAAGGAACGTGCGCGTCGAAAGGAACGTGCGGGAGGGAAGGAACGTGCGGGGGGGGAGGTACGTGCGCGGGAAAGGGAATGTGGGGGGCGAAAGGAACGTGCGCCGGGGCGTGGCGCGATGGCGGCGGTGGTTCGCGCGAGGGCCGGTGCAGAGGTGAGGGCAAAGGCGAGAGATTGCAGGGGGTAGGTGACGCGACAGTGCGGGAAGAAGGCGGAACTTGTGCGCCGCGTTGAGCGGGGCTCGCGGGAGACGCGCCTAGGGAACGGGCGTTGCTCTCCCCCCTCGTGACTGTCTCTGAAAGCGGCGCCGCCTCCCCCTCGTGCATCGCTGGCGCGGAAAGGATCGACACTTTTTAATACTGCTGTTACTAGTCGCTTAATCGCACTATAGGTGCATGCTGCAGGCTCTCGTCGCCGTCGCAATGGCGTCGTATACTCGTGCTACTGGCATCTTTATAAATTAAACAATTTGCGACAGACGTAACGAGTCCAATGACGCGCTATTTGCGGTGCAGACGGTAGCAGTACCAAACGCGGCTTCAGCGCAACTCAAGTCGAACAATCTGCGCAACACTGATCTGATATGTGATGGATGGACGAACAGACAATCCAGTCGCAACCGTAGGTATGGTGGTGGGGGGGGGGGCATACAGTGTCAGTGAGCCAATCCATCAGCTGGAGAGGGCCAAGAGTTCTGCGCCTGGCGAGACTTTGCTTGCGGGACGTGCGGCGGTTGTGGTTTGTAGCAAAGCAAGTCCAAGGCTCGGCGCGGCACGGCAGATACGGTTGGCTGACTGCCGTGTACTCGCAGAAGTTGGTGGTGGTGCATATTAGTTCGGTACGCTGCGTTTTGTAGAACACCCTGACCAGCATTTCTCATTTGATATACTAGAGTGTTATGAGTTGTACCAAAGAAGAGTGCGCAGAATGCAATAACGCGGAAGTGATTACAACTGTTACGGATAGTGAATTGTGAAAGGACTGTGCACTCCTGTCAGTAGAAAACGAGGAACACAATGAAGAGTAAGGAGGCGAAAAGGCGGAATGACGCGAAGTGTCGCGTACAGTTAAGTGTCAAATGCATATAATTATTATAGGCTGCAGTGAGGTACTCCCTAGAGAGTACAACTCAGTTATGTGTTGCTACTTGTATTGCTTCTCAACCCCAATGCAAACATTCCGTTGATTATACTTCTGAGATGGTATCATGAGTAGATACGTTCCTAACCTAGCCTAGCCTAAAGCCGCTCCGTCGCTCCGTAGGTTCGTTCCCTCGCCTCGCCTAGCCTAGCTCGCTCCGTCCGTGGCGCCTCACGCCCTAGGTTCCGCCCTCCCTCCTAGCCCGTTTCCGCGCGACCCTAGAGCCCGCGCCCTAACCTAGCGCGAGCCCACGCTCAGCCCGCGCCCAGCCCGCGCCCTAGCTTAGCGTGCGCCCTGCCCCAGCCCGTAGCGTCGCGCGTGCGCCCTGCCCCAGCCCGTCGCGTCGCCCGTGCGCCCTGCCCTAGCCCGTCGCGTAGTCCGTGCGCCCTGCCTCAGCCCGTCGCGTCTCCCGTGCGCCCTGCCCCAGCCCGTCGCGTCGCCCGTGCGCCCTGCCCTAGCCCGTCGCGTAGCCCGTACGCCCTGCCCCAGCCCGTCGCGTAGCCCGTGCGCCCTAGCAGAGCAGCGCGCGCCACCCGGGCATAGCAGCGCGCGCCCCTGCCCAGGAACGCGCGCCCCTGGCCATACATGTGCGCCCATCCAGAAACGCGTCTCACGTACCTTCCTAGCCGCCCACACCTCCTCCTAACCGCCCACACCTCCTCCTAGCCGCCCACACCTTCTCCTAACCGCCCACAGCTCCTCCTAGCAGCCGCTTCTCCCTCTCTATGTGCCATGCTGCTTTCCACTGAGGGAGACCCCGACGCCCTTGACATTCCGACTCCTCGCACGTACCGTGAGGCAGTGTCAGGGGAGTGGGCCTCTTAGTGGAAAGCGGCTATGGACTAAGAGTTAGCGTCTTGGAGATCCACAGGCACCTACGTCGACGCAGTTCCCCCTCCCAGGGCGAATGTAGTCGACGACATGTGGCTCTTCAAGGTGAAGCGGCCGCCTGGATCACCGCCTGTGTTCAAGGTGCGCTTCGTGGCTAGGGGTTTCAGTCAGCGTGAGGGAGTTGACTTCTTCCAGACCTTCGCCCCGACACCGAAGATGACTACTCTTCGGGTATTACTGCACGTAGTAGCACAGCGAGACTACGAGCTGCACTTCCTCGACTTCTCCACTGCATTTCTCCAGGGCTGCCTACACGAGGAGATCTGGCTGCGGCGTCCTCCTGGCTTCACTGGCACCTTCCTACCTGGGACCCAGTGGACCCTGAGGCGACCAGTCTACGGTCTCCACCAGTCGCCCCGTGAGTGGCACGACACTCTTCGCTCCACGCTTCATGACCTTGGTTTTCGTCCTTCTTCTGCTGACCCGTCGCTGTTTGTTCGTGCTGGTTCCACTCCTTTCTTTATACTTGTCTACGTTGATGACTTGGTCTTTGCTACAGTAGAAAGGGCAGCTCTGGCTGAGGTGAAATTCGAACTGCAGAAGAGACACACGTGCACTGACCTCGGTGGGCTGCAGCGCTACCTTGGCCTGCAGATCACCAGGGACAGAGCTGCTCGCACCATCACGTTGATGCAGTCACACATGGTGCAGCAGGTCCTTCGGCGGTTCGAGTTTCAGTTCTCCACCACCCAGCCCACTCCTCTTGCTGTTGACCACAGACTCACTGGCCCCTTTCCCACCGAGCCCTTTGAGTCTTGTGGTCCCTACGCAGAGCTTGTGGGCTACCTCATGTACCTGATGACTTGTACTCGGCCGGACCTCGCCTTTCCCCCCAGCGTCCTCTCTCGCTTTGTTGCGACTGGGAGATACCGTCCTGTTCACTGGACAGCTGCTGTGAGGGTGGCGAAGTACCTGGCGACTACATCAGACATGGGGCTTGCACTTGGAACTCAGCCAGTTGAGTTGACCGGTCACTGCGACTCTTCCTACGCAGACGACGCGGAGACTCAGAGTTCGACTCAGGGTTACTGCTTCAGTCTGGGTGCTGGTGATGTCTCGTGGAGGTCTACACGGTCGTCGTCTGTGGCTTCGTCCAGTGCAGAGGCAGAGATCTACGCTGGTGCCATGGTGGCACAGGAGCTTCGCTGGTTGACCTTCTTGCTCGCCAACCTTGGTGAGCGGCCTCGCTCTACACCGACCTTGTACGCTGACAACAAGGCCATGATCCTCCTGTGTCGAGAGTCTCGACTGGAGAGCAAGGTGAAGCACATTGACGTGAGGTACTTGCTCCTACGAGAGTTGCAGCGACGCGGCCAGGCACGCTTGGACTTTGTGGCCTCAGAGGCCAACACTGTTGGCGTCTTCACCAAGGCTTTGGCGCCTGGTGACGACCACAGGTTCTGTGTGCAGCTAGGGCTTGTTGAGGCAGGCCCTCTGCTGATGTAGCCTTGTTGTTTGCTCTGCTTGTTTTGCCTTTGTATATATCCTAGTGAACTCTTGAACTGGCCTTGTGGCCTCTTGTTTGTGCTCGGAGTGTGTGGTGACTCTGAGCGCACCCTGAGCTTTGTTGTTGCTGCTTGTTCTTGACTGGTCTTGTGACCGTTGTTTCGCTTGCTAGTCTTTGGGTACCCCTCACTTAGCCTATGGGGGTGTGTCAAATGCATATAATTGTTATAGGCTGCAGTGATGTACTCCCTAGAGAGTACAACTCAGTTATGGTTGCTACTTGTATTGCTTCTCAACCCCAATGCAAACATTCCGTTGCTTATACTTCTGAGATTAAGCAGCATCTCGACCATCGGAGCAGAAGCATCGGGTAGCTGCAGTGGCGAGGATTCTGGCGAGAACATGTTCGTAACCATCTGGAGTCGCACGGTTGGGTTTCGCTGCAATAAGGGAATGTACCCTTTAGAGTACATGGCTAGTCTAGGTCGTTTCGTATTCCCCTGTACTCTTGTATAAACGAATGTATTTGCATGTTTTTATCATCTCAGTCATCTTAAATTCACTATGACCTGAGGTAAATGCTTCCACTGCAACACACTCTCTGTGAACCTTCCTGAGGTGATCCTAGGTACGATCAAACTTCTGATCGCAACAACAATTACTGTCTGAATCAGGGCTCTTGCTAGGATTTAGACGCGTCTAAAAAACCAAATCACAAATTTCGTTTCGTCTGAAGTTCGGACGGGCAAAAAAAAAAAAAAAAAAAAAAAAAGCCTGATTTTTCAGACGAATGGAGAAGCTTTGTCAGGTTTTCCAGACTATTCATTTTGCATGGTCTGATTAAGTTAATACACTTGTCCAGCATGATCTCAAGTTCATTTGAAGTTGTTGAATACGTCGTTAACGCGCTGTTGATGCGGCGCTGACAGCCCGCTAGCTGACAAGCGTGTGTCAAAATGGGCGGCGAGAGGGCCTGTGGGGGAGTTGTCGTGCATTTGGCATGAGGGACGATGCGAAGGACCACCAGGATGGTGGGTGGAGGGAGGGAGGGATTTGAAGGAAAGGGGGGGCTGGGTTGGGTGGGAGGAGACACGACGAGGGACATGGGGAAGGGGACTGGGCTCGGAGGGGGGACCTGAGGGGGGAGGAGGGGGAGAAGGGCTGGACTGTGCCTAGAAGAGGAGCCATGCCATTGAAGGGGGGACTGAGCTAGGAGCGAGGGATTGGGGAGGGGGGGGGGGGGGGCGGAGGGGAAGAGGGGGGCGGTGGCAGACGAAAAATAACTCGCAACGCTTTCTCTGAAAAAACAGACGAACAAAAGTCCATAGTCCTATTGATCAGACGAAATAAAAAGCACCGTCTTAAAAATCATATGAAAGCAGAAATCAAGGTACGAAAATCAAACCATTAGACCAATCTGGTATGATAACGAGAGCCCTGATCTGAATAATGAAGCCTAGCACAGATGTAACTGCATACAGATTGCTAAGGTACTAGTTTAGTTATTAGCAACAACTGCTGGTGGTGTAACCTCTCCTTTCCCCTTTCCTATATATTGTATGCCTTCCATATTGAATCCCTCTTTGGTCAACCCTACTTTCCTCTCGATATCCATCTTGCCATGCTCCTAACTCTAACTCCTATGTCCTAACTAAGTTCCTATCTTAACAGGAAAACCCGAAAGCGACGCGGGAGACGTTCGGAGGGCGAGGTCGTCGGACCGAGCCTCGAACTCCAAAAGTTGGAGTTGTACGCGTACAAGGTGACCTTGTAAGGAATTAGGAAAATTCCTTATACTACTCCCCCCTTTAAGAAAGGTGGTCAATATCAGGCACACGACGGCGGGAAA